AAAATCATAAATAGCTGTTGAATTTTATCAAATACATTTTCTCTATTAATTGATGAGATCATTCGAGTTTTCTCCTTGAGTCTATTACTATGTGGATAATACTGATTTTTGAGTATCAAACCAGACTTGCATCCCTGGGATAAGCTCACTCAGTCATAGTGTTTACTTATATAGTGTATACTTTTTACATATTGCTGATTTTTATTTGCTAATATTTTGTTGTGTTTTTTACAACTATATTCACAAGGGATAATTGTCTATAGATGTCTTTTTTTTTTAAGCTGTGTTTTTATTTTTTATTGTATTTATTTATTTGACAGAGGGAGAAAGATCACAAGCAGGCAGGGGGCGGGGAAGCAGGCTACCTCCTGAGCAAAGAGCCCGAAGCGGGGCTCAATCCCAGGACCCTGAGATCATGACCTGAGCCGAAGGCAGAGGCTTTAACCCACTGAGCCACCCAGGTGCCCCTATAGATGTCTTTTTAAAGAGTGTCTTTTTTCTGGTTTTGGTATCAGAGTACTATTAGCTTCATAATATGAATTGGGAAGTGTTCACTCCTATTTTCTGGGAGGGACAGCAGAGTTGGTATTAATTCTTTAAATGTATGATGGAGTTTTTCAGGAGTACTCTAGACCCAAATATTATTTTTGTAGAAGTTTTAAAATTATGAATTAATTTCCTTTAATAGTCACATGGCTGTTCATATTATCTACTTCATATTGGGTGAATTGCGGTAGTTTGTATTTTTCAAGGAATTGGTCCGTTTCATTTAAGTTGTCAAATTTATGAGTATAGAGTTGTTCATAATATGTTCTTACAGTCTTTTTAATGTCTGCAGGGTCTATAGCGACATTCTCTGTTTTATTCCTGATTTTGATCATTTGGGTTTTCTCTTTTCTTCTTAACTTTGCTAGAGGTTTGTGAATTTTACCGATCCTTTCAAAGAATCAGCTTTCCATTTCATTCATTTTCTCTATCGTTTTCCTGTTTCAATTCCATTGATTTCTGTTCTGATCTTTATTATTTCTTCTCTTCTGATTGCTTTGGGTTTATTGGGTTTATTTTGCTCTTTTTTTTTTTAGATTCTTAAGATTAAGAGATTAGATTAATCTGAGATTTTTTTCCTTCTTTTCTAATGTATACATTTTAGTGCTACAAATTTCCCTTTCCATGTTGCTTTACTTGTGTCTCACCTGTTCTGAAATGTTGTATTTTCATTTTCATTCAGTTAAATAAATGTATTTTTAAAACGTCCCTCAAGAGTTCCTCTTTGATTCATGGACTATGCAGGAGTTTGTTGCTTTGTTCCAAGTGCTTGGGCATTTCCTGGTTTTCTTTCTATTATTGATTTCTAGTTTGATTTTATTGTAGTTAGAGAAGATGCTCTGTACGATTTCAATTGTTTTCAATTTGTTCAGATTTGGTCTATGAACCAGGATATTATCCTTCTTGGCATTCCATGGGCATTTGAAAAGATTGTGCATCCTTCTGTTCATGGGTGGACATGGATGTCATTTACATCCTATTGATTGATGATGTTCTTGATTCTTGCTGATTTGTTGTCTCATTGTTCTATCAGTTCTTAATAGAGGGGTGTCGAAGTCTTTAACTATAATTGTGTGTTTGCCTGTCTCTCTGTTCAGTTCCACCAGCTTCTATCTTACAGCTCTCCTAGTTGGCGCATTATACATTAGTCTTTCGTGTATGTTGACCATTTTTATCATTTTATAATGTCCCCTTCTGCCTGTCCATTTTCTTTGATCTGAAGTCTACTTTATCTAATATTAATGGAGCCACTCTTGCTTTGTTTTCAACAATGAATGCTAGATATATCTCTTTATTCATTCTTAAACTTTCAACCTGCTTACATCATATATTTGCTAAAGGACCCTAAATACAAATGACTGATAATGTATGAGGCTTAACAAGACAGTCTGAGACATTAGGCATATTCTCTGTCTCCAGGTGTGGTGCTGGAGCCGGCGAGAGCTAAAGGGAAGGTTCACGAGCGTAGGACAGAGCCATCCCATCTCTGGACATGTTGTACACAGCAGCATGTTGCTGTAGGTGGTAGCTCTGGGAAGGGACACTAGAAGCCTTTGTGGACAGATGCATATAAACCAAAGGACTTCCTCCCACTCCCTGTCATCTCCACCTACACATAGCCTGGTGTGGAACTCTTGGAACTTTGACCCTCCAAGGGAGTGGGGAAAAAGCTTTAAGGAAAACTGAAGACTTGAAAGTGAAATAAAAAGATGTGCTGATTCAGGGCCTGTTGGCCCTCCCAGGCACCTTTGATGCCCTTCCCCTACTTGCCTCTGTGTGGCAAGAGAGCTAACCCTGATGGGTGTTTCTTTGATTCTCAGGATGGCTGGGGTGGAAGTTTGGCTGAATGTCAGGCACCGGCAGGAGATGAGAGGGTGCAAGGAGAGGAAAATCTACAGTCGTTTCCCCCCTTTCCCTTGCCCTAAATGACTTCTTTGGCAGTAGCTGTCCCTCTTCCATGGTCGCAGCTCCCAGGCTGGCCATACTGCCAGGCGCCTGGGCTCCAGAACCTGTGTCTCCTCCCTTTCCTTCTCCAGCTAGGGGCCATGCTTGCTAATTTCTGGATCACCTCACCAACCCCTGCTCAGCTTCTGAGTTCTTCCACTGTCTGTGGCATCATTTCCTTGCACTTAGTTATGTCTTTGTAAATACTCAAAGTCCTCTCTTTCCCTGGTTAGCCCCCTGACGGAAACAAACGGGTTTAGAGCCAAGGCTGCAGTGTGATATTTCTTACACACTTGACTTTGTAGTTTATATCCACTACATTATTATCAAATCTATCTACCTTGTTCTCTCCAGCTGGCTGTTTGCTAAGTGACACTGTTCCATCCATATATAAGCCTTCTCAGGCAACCATCATTTCGAAGTGATTTTTCTGGGAAGGGGGGCTTGAGGCAACGATATCACTCACACAAGGGATCTTTGATGGCGTGTTGGCTTCTTAGATTCAGAACTTTCAGATCACCAGATCTTTTCTACATGCGTCCTTATTGTTTATAAGAACGGCATTTTTCTTTATAGATTGAATAGATCTTCATAAAACACACAAAAAAGCTCTGGGAAGAGCTTCTGCATTCCCCACCTCCCCTCAGCCACAACAGTTGTAGATGTGGCCGCTACAAAGCCACAACAGATCTGAATTAAGGCAGTACCTAATCCGGGTACCAAGGGGCCACACATAAAGTCATTATTGGTCATTAACTGCCTCATGAACTGGTTTATTAGGTGGGTGTTCATTGTGATACTCAAAAAGGGACTGAAGTTTTGATGGGGTGAGGAGTTAAAGGTGGGATGGAAGCACCACCCCAAGGGCAAGGCAGTTTCGAGGCAAAGCCCTTTCAAGGTGGCTAGCCTGAAGCCTAATAAAGCTAAGGGCAAACCAGCATTTTATTGCTTTTGGCCAAAGAACATTGCCAAACTTTCAGGGCAAAGGGCAAGTACAAGTCATTCTTCTGAGAGGTTATGAGATTTCAGCTAGGACAGAATAAAAGGAAGTTTCTGAATATAAAATAGACAGTATTTTGGAAGAGGTTTTATGAGCATGATCATCAGAACAATTCACCACTGTGTCAAACAGATTATAATTTGAAATAATTGATGCAAAAAAATCCATTCACTTATTTATTTAATACATAGTATATGGCGCCAGGTTCTGTATTTGAGAAGCTACCTACGTATCTATGTTGGAAATAAAGTAATTTCTGTTTCCTGAAATTGTTCTTTAGAGAATATTCTTCAAAGTGTCCTTCTCCCTCTGTCTTCCCATACTTACTTCAGGGCACACAGAGGTAGTATAAAATGTCTTCCAGGGGAGAAGCCCGCAGGCATCACTCCGTTGAAATAGGGGTGTTCAGATTCATTTGCCTTTATATTATCAAAGGCATATGTAGATTTTGGAACATGTTTGAATCAAGATTTATTTAAATTTGTTCAAAGTTAACAACAAACTCTCTTGGATCGAGACTGGAGCATAAATTAGCAACATTTATAAACCGTTTTTGTGGTTCTACTCTCTGGGTTCAGGCTCAGCTCAGGCACTAACTAGGTGCGTGACCTCGAGGAAGTTCAACTTCCCAACCCTTTAAAGTGTGGATCATAATGGTCACATCCTTACAGAAGTGAGAGGTGTGTAAATTTGGAAATGCATGTGAAAAGGCTTGGCACATCGTGAGAGCGAAACAAATGTCATATTCTTATCGCCGAGTTTCTTGTTTGGCAGAGGTGGTTCGTATGGCTTGAGAATAGAAAAGACTGATCAACTCTTTTTTTTTTTAAAGATTTTATTTCTTTGAGAGAGATCACAAGTAGGCAGAGAGGCAGGCAGAGAGAGAGGAGGAAGCAGGCTCCCCATCAAGCAGAGAGCCCGATACGATGCGGGGCTCGATCCCAGGGCCCCAGGATCATGACCTGAGCCGAAGGCAGAGGCCTTAACCCACTGAACCTCCCAGGCGCCCCAGCCTGATCAATTCTTACAAGAATGGAAAAGATCTAGTCTGAGGTTTCAAAAACAGTGAATCCAATCAGAATCTAAATTTGAATGCACCTCACCCCGCGATTTTCAAGACTGACCCTATAATTTGTCATTTCATGGGCTTCCAGTTTCTCTACTTCTGCTCAGTGCGGAGTCCTTCAAGCAGAGACTCACAAATGACAAACCTCACCCCACCACCTAACTGAGGGAACCTGAGTGTAACCAGGCCTGCGAGTCGGACCGAGCTCCTGAGTCGGAGTGCGGGCTGGGACCGGGAGGAGGTGTTAGGACTCCTCCTCCCCACCCTAGTCCGCAACTTCCCCGCCCCAGTCAACTACTTCAGGCCTCTTAGCGCCTTTCTGTCGCCGGCCCGCCCTTCCACCGGGTGTCGGAGCGGGCGCAGGAGGCGGGCCCAGCGCTGACGGGCTGCGCCTCCGCAGCCAGAGGGAGGAGGGCGGGAAGGCGGGCGGGGGAGGAGGAGGAGGCGGGGACTACGCCGGGCGGTAGCTGGCGCCGAACGCGGTGGGAGAGGAGAGGGTACCCGGCTGGCTCTCCTGGCGGCCTCTGCCCGAATCTCGGCGCCGCATCCCTGCGCCTCTCCCGCCCTTGTCTCCGGCTCCGCGGCCCGGGCACAGCGGAGGTGGCGGCGCCGTGGGCCACCGGTAGGTTGCACGGGGACGGCGGTTCCGCCTGCAACCTTTTGTGCTGTAGAAAAGGTGGTGGTGATGGGTGGGTGGTTTGGGGGGTGCCCCAGTCACCGAGTCCCGGTGCCAGCCCCAGTCGCGGCACCGCCCCTTCCTCCCTGCCTCGTGTCGGGGCCGGGCGCGCGGTGTCCGCCCGGTGCTGGGGAACCCCGGGCGGGCGGGCCTCCGGGATAGGCGGCGGGTCGGCCCCAGGGGCGCCGGGCCTTGGCGGGCCGGTCCTTGGGCGCCAGAGCAGGAGGCTGGGGTCTGGTGAACTGGGTGGGGCCCTTGCGGGGTGCGGGGAGCCCGCGGCTGCTTGGCACAGGGGTGGGGCCGGAGACGCCGTGAGTGTGCAGCGCGTGTGAGTGTGCGGGGGCGTGCGCCCCCGTGTGCGCGCGGCGTGCGCTCGCCGGGGAGGTGCGGGGACTCGGCGAGCCGGAGCGCCTCTCCCGCGGTGCGGCGGTGCGGAAGTCGGGGCGCGTTGGCGCGCACGCTAGTTCCTCCGCCAGCGTGCCCGCACCGCGGGGCAGCTGGCCTCGGGGCCCCATTGAGAAGTAGCTCTTTCCCGGGCCTGCTGCGCCTCTGGCCGCACGCCCCGGCCGCGCGCCGGGTGCGACTGCCCCGGCCAGATAGCGCCTGGGGGCGAGCCCTAACGGGCTTATCTCGTCGGCCCTCTTCTCTCGAGCTGATCCGGGGGGTGAGGCCGCTCTCTAGCCCGCAGCCCGCGCCCGTTGCGCTTCTGCCGGTGCGGCGGGGGCGGACGGACCGACCGTGCCCGGGGGCGCGCGTGTAGATTCGGGCCGAGTGCTGGCCAGAAGCGAAAGCGGCAGATTTGTCGCTGGGCATCTCCGCCCTCTCCCCACCTGTCGCGGGTGGACTTTGGGGCGGGTGGTAAGCAGAGGAAAGGGGTTTCCAGGCGGGCGGCAGTCACACGTTGAGCGGGCGGCCCCATTGTGAAGCTGCCAAACTCTCTCTAGTGGTGGAATCTGCGAATCTGCCAGCTAGGCGATGAAGGGAATGATGGCCCCGTCCCTTTCCCCTTGCAAATGTTCCACATCCTTAGGATCTTCCTGCTTCTCCGCCCGCAGCAGTTGGCACCTGGGTGGGTTAGTTATCTCTGCCCAGCCAAGATGCTGAGAGGGTTATGTGTATGATTGTAGTGCGCAGGTAAAACTGGGGCTGGGAACTTTCTCACCATTTGAGGAAGAATAGAGGTAGTAGCGTTTTATTGCATGCTCGCTACTCCTAGCTGAAAAGAGCAATTCTTGCACAATTCTGACGTTACTGGAACTCTTTATTTTATATTGTTTTTCTGAGATGAGCTACCCTACAATTTAGAGTTGTTAGTTGTTTTATGTATTTTTTTTTAACCCTGTAGAGGAAGTTACACACTAATAGAGATAGAAATGATCTCTTCGCAAAGTTTATCTTCTCAGTGATTTCAAAATACAGTATTGGTTATTATTGCAGAAGTTTTGGGTACTTTATTAATTCAAGACCATGATTTATGCTTACACAATTATGTTTAATGAATTTTGCATAGATTTTGGTGTTTCTGTCATGTGGCTGTGTATGCATTATAAACTTAATAAAATGACGAGGGTGAAATGTTAGGATTAATGAACCCGTAGAGCTCTTGATTTGATAAGAGCAGTGTATACAGTATGCTTCTGTCAACATTCTAGTTAATTAATTGCAGGTGAGACTGTTTAATAGTGACAACACCAGGACAAAAGATATACAGGGTATTTATTGACCTTGCATCATGGTCAGTGAATTTGTTTCCTTTGTATAATTTTGTATCCTTTGGAGAGCTCTTATACACCCTTTGAAGTATTTAGTGTGGTGGGAGTAATAAAACTTTATATGCAGGGTTGAAATTTGCTTTGCTGTTGCTGATTTATATCCTTTGGGAGAAAAAAATCAGGTCTTTTCCTCCAGAGAGAACTCTTGATTCTGTCACCAGCCTATCAAAATAAGTTCCTGGGTTTAAGCTTTCATGTGGAAGGTTAGCCAATTCCACCGTGTGCACCTGTCCCATTTTGGTTATGTTTTCCTCAGAGGCAGATTTCTTGTAAAGACTGCATGTAGATCTGCAGTTCCAGTTACTGCCAGTCATATTTGTAGTGAAACCAGTTTTTTTTTTTTTTTTTTTTCCCTAAAAGTGAAGGGTGACTTTACATAATAGTGAGACAACATTGGTAATCTAGCTTCAATTTCTACTAGCAGAAATAGAGGGAAAATGGATGCTGCACTTTCAGGGGGTTGCTATTAAAAGAACTGATAGTAGGAAGAGAAACACCTTTTTTTTTTTTTTCCTTTGGTCTTACTGAACTGATTATGGGTTGTCTTACCCCCTTGGTGAGGTTAATGATTTGTTTGTAAGGTCAGGGATGGTGTATGGTTTCAGAAATGTCACACCCTGCTCAATAACTCTTCTTAAAATTGTTGATGATTTAGTTTTTATGAGTTACAAATGGAAAAGTGAGATTGAAGTAATCTCTACGAGGAACATGTAGAGTAGGGTAGGTACAGCTAAGCATTTTGTTCTTAACTGTGTGTGTTGTAACTTTAGCAGTTAAACCATTTTATTTCTGCTCAGTGTTCTGTTACTTGAGAGATGTTTTGGTCCTTGTCTTTTTTATTTTTAGAGTAATCTTTGAGACTAGTGGTTGCAAAATATTTTCATTAGTCTGAATGCAACGTTTACCTATTTTTTTCACTTGCTTTTTTAATGTTACTGATCTCTCCTTGAATAGCTACTCTGAGAAATATTGCCTGTTTTCATTTTTTTCTTTGTGTGTTGGATCTAGAATTAGAACCCATAACTTCTACTCTACCATTTTTCTTTGCCTAAAATTTATCTTGTTTTCTATAATATACTCTTTAATGATTAGTGGGATTTATTTACCAAAATTCACAAGGGCTATTTGCTGGCCTCCGTACTTATAACCATATGATTTGGAAGTGATAGATTTTAATTTCTTCTTCTAAAAAAAAAAACAACAAACCTCTTTATAAAAGTAGACTCCATGGTAGAGCCCAACATAGGGCTTGAACCCACAACCCTGAGATCAATACCTGAGCTGAAATTAAGAGTCAGACCCTTGACTGACTGAGCCATCCAGGTGCCCCTAATTTTTATTTATTTATTTTTTCTTCCAAATTTTTATTTAAATTCTAGTTAGTTAATATAGTGTAGTATTGGTTTCAGGAGTAGAATTTAATAATTCATCACTTATATATAATGCCCAGTGCTCAACATAACTGGTGTCTTCTTCACTACCCATCACCCATCTAGCCCATCCCCCACCACCTCCCTCTGTTAACACTGTTTGTTCTCCATTATTTTTTTTTTTTTTCTTACTGCTATTTTATTAGTAGATCTGTGCTGAAGTCTGATACTTATGGCTTTTTTGTACATAGGGATTTTGTGTGGGCTTGAACATTTCCCTGTAGCGCTTTCTGTATTTGGGGGAAAAACACTGCCTTCTCTGGGTTCCCAGTACCATTCAAGTGTACTCTTCTATGTTTTAGATTTCCTTGTGTTTCCATGTCTGTCTGTCTTTCGTTCTTTCCTTGTCTCCAGCTTCACTTTTTGTATTTGCCCCAGTGCCTGTACAATGCTGGGATATAATAAAACTCAAGAAATATTGTTGCATGACAGAATGAGTGAATGAATAATTGAGCAGCTGAGTGGATACACCCAAATAAATACTCCTCAGATCTGTGTGGGAAGCCACCGTGCAAGCAGAAGGGTCTTTTTTCCTTACTTCCCCCTCCCCAGTCTTTTAATTCATTACCTTTTCATTGTTAAATATTATTTTTGAGTAGGATAACAGTATAATTGCCCAACAGGGACACTTTGGAGTGATAAAGGGGGTGCTATAAATAATTATGCCACATTACTGGCTGTGAACTGAGACATATGGCCTCCCTACTTTTGAAGGACATTCTTCTTTATTTACCTGTTTTGATATCTATCACCCTGCCTGAGAAATTTGACACACTTCCTAGTTAATGTTTGCAAACTTTCCTATTTGCAGAAGCTTCATTAGCAGTCATATGTTGGGTGTCTTTTGCTTAGTCACTCATGGCTTCCCTATCCAGAGGCCTGCGGGAAGACCTTGGCCATGCTGACTTTATCCTATTTTTATTGCTTCCAGCATAATGTCACGGGGTTTTCTGCTCATTTCAGCTGTTTGTAGCTGGAAGCATTATATAGTCTAGCCTCTGCTCTATTTACGTCTGTCTGTTTTTCTGCATAGCGTTTAGTATATCTTGTAAGCCTTTCACATGAGTTCTTTTCCTTCTTGCTGACTGTCTTGGAGAGGAGATCTGTTGATACCTTGCCAAGCCTTCATGGTCAAAGCATTGGCCAGAATCAGTTGCAAGTGTTAGGGATTTATAGATTTTTAAAGTATTCTAAAAATGTTATTCAATCTAAAACTTCATTCTAGATTTAAAAGCAGGGGAACCTTAAAGTGATTGTCTACTCTTGCCCTGGAGCTAAAGTGGAAATTTAGGAAATAGTTGGTACTTTCATAGTAAACAAAGTATATTAATTCATCATCCCTATTCTGCCAGTGTCCGTGGGCTTTGGAGTCAGACTGGTAGACGTTCAGATTCTTGTTCTGACTCTCAAATAGTGTATTACTTGGTCAAATACTTTAAAGTGGGGGTGGTATTTTCTCCTTGAAATTGCTTATTTCTCCTATAAATTGCTTATAGCTTTTGGCATAGAGAAGGTGTTCAAAAATATTGGTTTCTTTTTATTAAAAATCCAGTTCTTTGGGAACTTTCATATTACATTACATACAATCTTAATTGTTTCTACAGGACATGGGATAAAGCCCTTTCTTTAGTTTTTCTCCTTCTTCTTTTTCTTTTAACTAGATTCCTTTATAGGCAATCTCTTCAAGAAGACACATTCTTATACTAGTGTCTGGTCTCATCTTTTCATTCTTCTCTTCTTCATCATCTTTATTCTCTTCCTCTTAGTCCCTGTGCACAGATAGCAGGTGGTTATACACACAGAACTAAGCAGAGTCAGAAATGAGGAAAAAATGAGACAGGGAATGGAGCTCCTTCACCTTAGTTTCGCCTGGGTGGCTCCCTTGGACTCTGTGTTTGTATTCTATTTCTGGCTTGGCACGACCCTAATAGGGATAATCAGTTACTACACTTTGTTTACTATGAAATTACTGACCATTTCCTAGACTTCCACATCAGCTCCCGGGCAGGAGTTGGATAATTACTTTAAGGCTCTCTGTTTTCAAATCCAGAATGAAGTTTTAGGTTGGTTTTTCTTTTACTCTTGAAAAAACTGTTGGAAAATATATTTTTTCATGCATTTAAAAGCTTGAAAAGAAGCACATATCACCAAATACGTGATACAAATTACATGATAGCTTGAATGAGATTTTACAGTGTTTTCTAAAACTAGTTTGTTTTTTTTCTTAAAGATTTTATTTATTTATTTGACAGAGAGTTCACAAGTAGTCAGAGAGGCAGGCAGGGAGAGAGGGGGGAAGCAGGCTCCTCGCTGAGCAGAGAGCCCGATGCGGGGCTTGATCCCAGGAGCCTGAGACCATGACCTGAGCCGAAGGCAGAGGCTTAACCCACTCAGCCACCCAGGTGCCCCTAAAACTAGTTTTTGTTTAGAATTAAAACACGTCCAGATTTTTCTAATGTTCCTGCTCCTAGGTTTTCTATCTAAATTTCCAAAAGTCTAAATGAAATGGATCTCACTCCGTGATAGAGGTAGCCCTGAAAAATGAAGTGGAAATGTCTCTCTGTATTTGGCCTCCAACCACATAACCAGCCAGGATTGCTTGATAACGGTTTGTCCTCCCTTAGGATTTATGCTTTTCAAGTATCTTGTGCGCTCCTCTCGGAGAAGGGGTCCAGGATTTAGATGGACTTTGTAGAGGACTCCGGTATGTGCCTCTCCATCCTCCCATTTTCAAGTTGGAAATAACACGAGAACTAGTAGCTAAAAGCACCTCCTTCTAATCACTTCGCAAGTGAGGCAATAAAGCTTTAAAATAAAGTGCCTCTCCACACATTTGAAATAGAATTCCATTTACAGAAATTAATTTACATTTTTCAGGAACATGGTTGTTGTGTAAAAAGCTGTCCATCCGGGCTTACCACTGAGCAGAGGCCACGTGTATAGAAAGCAAGGTCGGTGGGCCTCGGAGTCAGGCAAACCGGGGTTCAGTTCCTGCCTGACTCTCAGATAGCATTGCTTGATGGAACACTTTGCAGGGGGGATGGTACCCCCCCACCCTGCAGAGTCGGGGTTAAGATGAAGCCACAGAACTGGCCCCTAGCTTTGGCATGCGGGAGGGGATAAAAAATACGAGTTTCTTTTTAAATTTCCATCCCCACTAAAATCCATTTACTTGAATAAGAAATCAACTCGAACTTTGTAACAGTAGTATTGGGGACATTTCCAAGAGTGGGTATATTAGGTTAAAAAAAAAAAGTATTATCAGGCAACAGTTTTTTGCCGCGTTACAGTTCACTTTATGTAAAAACCAGAGGCTCCCTGGTGGGCAAGAAGCAAGTCTTCCTCCTGCAGGTGCCTTGGCTAGGTCTTGGTGCATTCACTCCTTCCAGTTTGCAAAGTTCAAGAGGCAGATCCCTTTAACTCAGTAAACGATGCATTTCCTTTGGATGCAACTCTTCAGTAGTGGTAAGGAAAGTAATAAGGTGACAAGTCCTTGCCTTCTCCCTTGCCGTTTGCTTTGGCTGTGAGGGCTTGTTTTCAGTGAAGCCACTCTTGGGGGTCCTGTGCACCTGTGCTGGTGAAATGAATCCACTCAGCCCACTGGAGGCTCCCTGGCCCCAGGTTAGACACAGCAACAGGAACCCAACCACCAAAGAAATCTTCACGGGTGGGTGGGACTTTGGGGAGTTTTCTTGACCTCAAGAAATTCACCCAGTTAACAAGAAAGATAGGAGATAAAGACAGATGCTCTTTTACATTACCTCCCCAGGAAAGGGAGAGGCCTAGAGGAGATGCTCGAAATCTTAAGCAATGTGGAAACTCTATAAAGAAGTGGTGTTCTCTTAAAAAGAAAGAAAGAAAGAAAGAAAGAAAGAAAGGGAAAGGAAAGGAAAGGAAAGGAAAGGAAAGGAAAGAAAGAGAAAGAAAGAAAGAAAGAAAGAAAGAAAGAAAGAAAGAAAGAAAGAAAGTTTTCCAAGGCCTTTCCAACCATTTGCCTCAGAGCGGTCTTATGAAGGATTTTTATTGTTGCTATTTTACGGCTATGATGAGTAGACAGCAAAAATTAATTGCATAATAATAACATCACACATCTCTAAAGGGCTTTACAACGTGCAGAACACGTTCCCCTGACTCCTCCTCAAAGCGGCTTTATGAGGGAGGAAGAATGGTATCGTCCTCATTCTCAATATTGCTCTTTATACAAGGTCAGGACACAAAGTTCTTAGCCAGGCCATGAATAGGACCTGTTCTTTTAACCCTAGCCTCATCATCATTTTTTCATAGGCTACTGTGAATTTGAGTACACGAAGAGCGCTAGGATGATGGAGCTAACATTTAACCCCCAAATTTGTGTGTCTGTATTTAGTCCAGTTAGCTGCTCTTAGTCTCGAGGTAGAATTTCAGCAGCAGAATACAGAGGAATAAACATGATAAAATGGTTGAAGTTCAGTTTAGCTAAACAAAGTCAGTTTGCTTTAATAAAAGGAATTAATATTGCGTCCTCTATAACCTGTACCTGATGTTAGTTACCTCCTGCTAGTTTCTTCCTGTGTTGCAGTTAGAAGTGTTCTAATTGCTTTGTAAGTTGTGTTACTTGTTAAATTAAAGGTTTATTTTTAAATTCCATGTTTAGTATCTGGAGTAGAGCAGAAGAAATATTATGCCTGTGTTCCCTTGGGACTCATTGGACATTCTACAGTGACATCTTCTGGGATTTAGTCTGGTGAGTTAAATTTTGCTTTTTCTTTTTGTTAACCCATTGTATGAACATATCATCATGTGTTTTAAGGACTACATAAACAGGTGAATGTGAAATGTCGAGATACGATTGCAAGTATATATACTACAGTAATGAAATTTTTAATAATGGGAACTGAAATTATTGCAGATTGCTAACTTTATTATCTTGAAGTGTTTGCCTTATTGATTGGGGTTTTTCCTTATTCCTGTGAGATAAAGGAGATTTTTGGAATAATACTTAAGAATAGAGTAGTTAAGAGGTAATTGCTCTGATTTCAGGGAAATTTTAGTAAAACATTAATCCCTAGAGATGGGCAAAATAATTTGCAAAAAGTTCTTGTTGTATATGGTCATACGTTATTAAAGAAAGGCATACAGGTGACTGAAAGGACCATCAGTTTCACTTGGTCATACAGAAGTTCACTGCAAGTGTGACCTTCCTTTTATTACACCATCAATTTCAACTTGTTAAAATTAACGCAGTGCTGTTATCTTTTCGTTGTCTTTTTTCAGTGCGTCGTCTTTGTATCTATGCCAATGCAGTTATCCATGTGACTCCATGTGTTTGAAGGTGAAAAGAATTTAATAATTATCTTTGTAGCTTTTTAGAATTTTAAAAAGTATACTAATGTGAGTTCATTGGTGCTTTGATATCTCATTATACTTGGGCAAGATCTTTATAGGTCCTTGCTTTGAATTCGAGTGGTCAGAATCCTTGGGGGGTGGAAATACTCGGGGGAAAAAAATTCTGGAAAAACTTCTGGTTTCATAATAAGTGATCTCCAAATTAACCGTCAGCAGCAGAATGATTCAAAAGAATGTTGGGGAAAACCAGACACTTTTGTTTCATTAGTTAGATACAGTATGCCAGATTTATGACAATGCATTTTTAAAACATTGGGAAAACAGAATCATTACTAAATTTTAAGTTTTGAGGAAAAAAAGCAAGATGTTTGAAAACTCAAAGTACAAAATACTTTTAGAGGATATTGAGTAAGAAATAATGTGGCTGAGTTAACTCATCTAATTTAAATAAAACACAAAACTGGGAGTAGTGAGTGGAAGTTACAGGAATGTGTGTGTGTGGGTCTGTGTGTATCTTTCTCTTCAGAGGCACATGTGTAGTTATGTATACATAATTATGGATATAGTTATATATTAAATACAAGGACAGTCTAGCATAGCTGCAAAGGTGAAATGAACCAACTTGAGAGGTAATGAGTTACCTGTCATTGGAGGTGTTCAAACATAGACTGAACAACCATTAAGATGCCTTGTGATTCTGAGATCTGATAATTTGAAGAATTTTAAAATTAGGAGGATGTTCAAAAACTTGGAAGTATGTGACAGGCTTCTTTTATTTTAATTTAATATTTTTTTTATTTTTTGAAGTCAGACTTCAAATTGAAGTATAATTTGTATATAGTAAAAATCACCCTTTTGTATAGTTTGATGAGTTTTGATAAATGTACCCAGCTGTGGAATGCCCATTATAGTCTATATATAGACTATTTTAATCACTCCTCCCCAAGGTTCCCTGTGCCCCTTTGTAGTTTTATCCCCACCTCCCAACCTTGACCTTTTGCACTTGTTGATTGATTACTGTCCCTTTAGTTTTCCAGAATGTCATATAAGTAGAATCACACATATGTAGCATTTTCTATCTGCTGCTTTCACTCTTGTAATCTTAGTTTGCTCCTTTTTGTTACTGAAATGTATTCCATAGTATGATTGGTCACTCTTTCTTTTTCCATTTCCCTGTTGATGGATGTTTGGATTGTTCTAGTTTTTGGTGATTATGAATAAAACTGTTAAAAGTATTCATGTTCAGGTCTTTATGTGAATATACATTTTCATTTTCCCTAGGTAAATACCTACAGTAGTGTAGGTGGGTTTTTAAATAACATTTATTTAACTGTGTCAGAAATTGCCAAACTGTTTTCCAAAGGGCTGTATCTGATACAGGCTTCTAAGAAGCTGAAGTAGCTGTAGCAAAGTGTGTGCACACCAAGGGGCCTGATTCTCATTCAGCACAGGTTTATTTTTATTTTATATCCAGTTTCAACATGTTTGATCAGCACATGCTTTTTAAGTCCACAGTGGATTAGACCCAGTAAGCTAGAAGGCATTAGGGATAGGTTGTTACAATTTCAAGTAGCAGGAAATGTATCCACTAGTAGTACAGTAATGACTGATCTAAAACAAAGCAAAACAAAAAAGGCACGGACTTAGAGGAGTGAAATTCTTCTGTCTGATAAGTTCTGTCTGACAAGTTCCCAAACACGTCTGCAGAGTAGAATGTCCTGGAGATGTTTTTGAAAAGTTCAGAGCCTACGCTGTGCCCCATAGGACTTCAAACATAGACCTGAGGTAGAGCACAGGCTTCGTAGTTTTTGAAGTTCCTTGGATGCTCTTTGCATGTGTACAAGTTGAGGAGCCGTGTACCCCACACATAGCATGATGAAGTTGCCAGTGTCAGGAAACTGGGACTGCCTATCCCGCCCTGGGCAAGCCCCTGCCTTCATGGCTTCAGTGACCTCTTCCTCATGATCAGAAGTTCTGCATAGGTGAAATCCAAGATGATGCTGGCACCGAAACTAAGTGGTTCTAGATATTGCTAGACTGACAGTAGTCATGCTTGGGAGGCTCCATTTGCCAAGAGCCGGCTCTATTCCAAATGGATCATTTCTTGAAAAGGATTTTGTTCGCACGGTGACATTTTTGTTCTGTATATTTAGACGGTTATATATGTTTTCTCTTAAATGGAATTGCTGTGTGTTACTAAAAACGGTTCAAGCATATGGGATAATTTTTTTGATTACTGATGGTGACTTTTTTTTTGATAAGCCTGATTTAAAAAAAAAAAATATTCCCAGAATGCAGTACATCTCAAAAAGAATTCTTTGTAAGGCAATTGTGAAACTTCTCAGCTATTTTCAGAGCTGGTCTGAGGAGCTGAGGCACCTTGGTTATATTTTTTAAATGCTCCTTGTGCCAAATGCTTGGGAAGTTGGACCTTTTGGGGAGTGTTCAGAGCTGAGCAGATTTTACACCGATGATGGTCTTTTGAGTGTGCTCATCTCTGTGTACCAGGGTCCCCTACACATTTGTTGTACATTGGACCTGTTGGCATTAGTTGCAGACAGAATTCATAATGGCATGCCATATCCATGTTTTAAAAATAATGTGCTGTGTACATTTTTCTAGCAGATACTGAGGTACTACCTTGTCTAGCCTGGTTGAGTTTTGAATCCTCCCACATTTCAAAGAAACACACTGGCCCCTATGAACACAGGTCTTTCACGTTTTGTAAGTCTATGTCAGTACCTTTGTTACGGATTAGACTGTGAAGGAATTTGATCCTGAAGACCCTTAGGTGGCGGTTAAAAAAAAATCATATATGTTCCTGTAACTTGCTTAGGAGACTCAAGTTTTAGAAGTATTCGTCAACTACAAGTTGAGTTTCCTATTCTCTGTTGTATTTTTTGTTGTAGACTCTTCTATGAAAAGAAATTTTGCTGCTTCTGTTATTACAATAACAACACTTTTCGGCTTTCTGTTTCCAGTTTTTATTTTTGCTTTAAACTGCATATGAAAAGCATTAATGGAATCAATAAGGTTGTCATTGCTCTGTGATTTCTAGTGCTCAGCAGTTCCTAAGTTAGCCTGGTGCCTGGTTTCCCGGTTCATGTTTATTTTTACTGGTGCGGTGGGAGTGGCTGCCTGTTGCACATACCTGCAGTATTTGTAAGAGTTCTTTGTAATCTTTTATCTTGGCAGTAGGCATTTATGAGGCATAGTTTATTTTAGGATAGGAAATAAAATGCTTCATCATGAATGGTTTATTAAGGAATAATAAATCTATATGATAAAATATGAAGAATATTCTGATCACAGTGCATCTCCAGTTGTAGTCATGGTAGCCATGTTTCCTGATCACTGCTTTTATTAATTTCTCATTATTTATTTTTTTACAGAGAGAGCAAGTGAGTGGGGTGGATGGGATGTTGAGGGCAGAGGTGGAGAGAGAGTCTTAAGCAGACACCACACCCAGCATGGAGCCCGACTCGGGGCTTGATCCCATGACCCTGAGATCATGACCTGAGCTAAAATCAAGAGTTGGTTGTTTAACTGACTGAGCCACCATGCATCCCTGATCTAGAAATTTTACTGTGTGAAAAAGTATCTCCATCTTTAGTATCACTGCCTTTTTTTTTTTTTTTTTTTGTAGAATTATGGAATTAGAAAGTAGCTCAACTTCATTTTCAGATGTGCTCCTATACTACTTCTCATTTAAGAGGTCACCTGGGGAAGTTGATCCTATAACAACTCCCAGGGCCTTAGTCCAGTCTTTAAATCCAGTCAGGAAATTCTCAGGAATTTAATAGCATAAGAAGTTTGCTTTCAGTGAGTCGCATTGAAGAGTGGAGGGCATACTGCTTGGTCAGCATTTCACCTAGCTAAAAACAAAATATTTGCCAGTCCGTGTTCTCTTTTCTGAAACGGGCCGCCACCTAGCTTTCTCATTGGTGCATGCTAGGCGCTCTTTAGAAGGGCAATCAATATGTAAATAAAAAGTTTTTTTAAAAAATCTAAGCAGTTTGCAAGAGTCAGGTTGTGCACCATGGACATTCCTACATGAATATCAAGATCTGAAGAGGTTCTCATACGTTCAACAATACACTGAAGAAACCAACGAAACCACCTCACAGAGCTGTTATTTTTGAGACTCTCTTACTGTTTGGAGCAGAAGTACTGATGTTTTTGTTGCTAAAACATGCGAGCACTTTTCCAGAATTTACAGTCGTTCATCAGAAGTTCAGTAGGTTGCAGTGATCTATGTAACATTTAAGACAAGTGTTCTTATGTTCCAGGACCATGAGACTGTAATTCAGAAACCTGACGTAGAGTGTTGACCTTAGTTCCTAGGCCGCATACCTGTTAGAGTGTATTGGAAGTGGTTGTGTCTTTAAGTTGCTGCTTAAGTGGTGTCTTCTAACAGGGGGTGTGTTGTTTACCTCAGCAAAAATGGCAGGTTTCTTACACCAGGCTGCTGGGTTGGAATTTCCAGAGCTCTTAGATCACATCGGTTTCTTTTGTTTGACCATCAGAGTGAAATCACTGTCTGTCAGGTATGTGCCTGAAGATCCTGTTAGGTAGTTTTGGCCAACCCACGTGGTGGTTTTTATGATGTTATGGCTGCTGGAAACTGAAGCCGCAGTGTTACTCATCTCTTTGTATTGTCCTGGTAGCTGTTTCATGTCCCATCCAATGTCACCTTTATAGATCACTTCACTCACTGTCTTTAGTTTTCTCATTTTCTAGGTGCTTATTTTCTAGATAATAGATACTTTTCTGCCCTTTTCTCTCAAGCCTTTGCGTCCTAACGAAGGTTTGTTCCTCTTCCCTTGCTTAGCAATTTTTATCCCTCAGAGGCACAGATGACTTTCAGCCTGGCCTCTGAATTATTACCCGAACCCTGATGGGTGGAGTGTGCATGCTTGGATTGGGGCAAGTTTGTAATGCACAGAATGAGAACACAGGAAGATGGCTGCTGTGGTGTGTGGATTGTCATGGATTCCCAGATTTGGAAGGGACCTAGACCAAGGGTGTCACCTCATGTGGACTGCCTGCTTGAGTGTCATCACCTGGGTCATTCTTACGTGGGGTACCCATTTGCGTGTGTGCTCCGTTTCCTGCACAGCCCTGGTTCTTTGAGCCTCACTGGCCCTCCTCTCCTTGTCTTTCAGAATGGACTATTAGAGATACACTTAACGCCCGTAGCTCCCTGTCAGGTTCCGTAACTTGGAGGCCTTGGATCTGACCTCCTGGGCTCCTTCTGGGTATCTAGAATTAGTGAGAAAGGAAGTATTAGATTAGTATGTCATTTGGCTTAGCGGAAACATTTGTTTATTCAGTATAAGGTTTGACAAAGCTCAGGCCCTCTGAAGTGTATCAGATAAGAAATCTTCAGGTTTCTGTATGCTTATCAAAGTAGCTGATAGTCCTCCTAACAGAGAAATAAATTACACAATCAAATAAAAATTTACTTCATACATGATATAATAAAGCTAATTACTTTAAATCTGAAAGGGTTGAGGGGGCTACAGTATTTTGATTAAATTAAATTTGGAACTACACAGACTAAAGTTTAGAGCAAAAAGTAAGTAAAAGCTCTGTGGATCCCTTTGGCATTTGCTCTATCCCAGGACTCAGTTTTCAGCTGTGTTCTAGATGTAGATGTAGTGAGGATAGGATGGTGTCTGGGGACTTCTTCATAGTCTTGGTTATTTCCTCATAAAGGAAAGAATAGCATGCAAGTGAGGGAATAAGGCTCCTTTTTTTTTTTTTTTTAAAGCTTTAGAATTGCTTGGATTTAAAATGAATACCCAAACTTTGGGAAATGCTTCAACCAGGAAAAGGTTATTTGTTTCACAAAAGCATTTATAAGAATCATTTCACATAACAGTCTCTTCCAATAAATTCTTTATCTTAAAATTAGTTACTATTTGACATCATTTTGGTTGGCAACCTGAGATACTTAAAAAATTGTGTTTTCTACTCCATACTGATGATCAAGTAGAAATAAAAAGTTTCTCTGAAAAGATATTGACACTCAGTTTCCCTTAGTGCTTTTTTTATTTTCCAAAATTTGACTTATTTGCAGCTTCCTAGAAACCTGGCCATTTTGCGTGGTACTTCTTTTCAGTGGGGCTTTCCAAAATATATAGTGTCATCATCATGATGAATAATATCAGCATTCATTGAGAATTATTCTGCCATTTATTAAACTATTCAAAAGTGCAGGGTCTTAGGTATTGTAAAATAAAGTAACGGGTAAATCAGTGGCCTATTTTCTCAAATAGAGTGCATCTGATATTTTATATATGCTTAATACTAAAAGTGACCTGATTTATTGGATTTAGGGTTTCTTTTTAAACTAGGAAATGGTTTGCTGTAAATAATTCACTGGGGACACCAGAGGAAGCACATTTGCAACATTTGGGGAACTTAAGACTGATACCTCCATACCTTCAAAACATTTCTTTAGGCCTGTGTTGGAACCTTTGCAGAAATCGATCGGTTTTCATCTTTCATTATACGCCCCTTAAACACGTTTGGAAAAAAAAAAAAAAGTGTAGGTGTGAAGAGCTCAGCGCTTATTTTAAATTAAATGATGGAAAATGTAAAGATGCCAGTTTTCAAGTTGGGAGTCTTTGGTGGATTCTTGTGGCGCCGTGTAGGATATTTTTATTTGCCTCACGTTGAGATCTGTATTTGATTTGCTTACTACCACATCAAAGAATAAAGCTTGCGTGATTGAACGGAGTGCCTCCTGTAGGGAAGGACTGTTTTCTGTTTTCTTCTCCATCTGAACCTTTTCGTCGTCCTCCAGACTTTAAGCTGCCTCCACGTTTGTGAAGGTAGAGAAGTCATAGTCTTTATTTTACTTTTTTTAAGATTTTTATTTATTTATTTGATACACACAGATCACAAGTAGGCAGAGAGGCAGGCAGAGAAAGAGGAGGAAGCAGGATCCCTGCTGAGCAGAGAGCCGGATGCGGGGCTCCATCCCAGGACCCTGAGATCATGACCTGAGCCGAAGGCAGAGGGCTTAACCCACTGAGCCACCCAGGCACCCAGAAGTCATAGTCATTTTAATGCCTGCTCTGGAGTGCATTATAGACACAGATAAACATCTGGCAGCTGGACAGTGGCCGCCTTTCAGGCCGGTGTTCTTTCGTGCTCCCCGAGCCGTCTAAACCGCTCCAGCTTGGCCCGAGGGTCTGTGCACGACGCCGTTACGATCTGAGTCTGTTTGCTTTCAGGAGTGTGCCGCCTGGTGCCTACCATGGAAGTCGATGTCAACGGAGAGTCCAGAAGCACCCTGGCCACGCTGCCCCTGCCGGTGGCCGAGGCGAGCTCCCCGGGCAAGGCGGAAGCGGAGAAGCCCCGCTGCTCCAGCACGCCGTGCTCGCCCATGCGCCGGACTGTGTCGGGCTACCAGATCCTGCACATGGACTCCAACTACTTGGTTGGCTTCACCACTGGCGAGGAACTCCTGAAGTTAGCCCAGAAGTGCACGGGAAGTGAAGAGGGTAAGGGAGAAGCTGTGCCTTCCTTGCGCTCCAAGCAGCTGGACGCAGGACTCGCGCGTTCCTCCCGTTTGTACAAAACCAGAAGTCGGTACTACCAGCCCTACGAGATCCCGGCGGTGAACGGCAGGAGGCGAAGGCGGATGCCCAGCTCAGGAGACAAGTGCACTAAATCTTTACCTTACGAACCTTACAAGGCCCTCCACGGGCCTCTGCCCCTTTGTCTTCTTAAAGGTAAGAGGGCTCACTCCAAATCTCTGGACTACCTCAATCTAGATAAAATGAGCATCAAGGAGCCAGCGGACACAGAAGTGCTCCAGTACCAGCTCCAGCACCTCACCCTCCGAGGGGACCGTGTGTTTGCCAGGAATAACACATGAGCCAGGGGCAGAGAGTACCGACCAGTGTAGGTCAGCATCCGCTTGGCTGGGAAAACCCACTGTCGTTCTCTGTACAGGACTCCTTCACATTATAGATGGTTATATCAGCTCAGTGTTCCTGGAACCTAAAAATTGTCTGGATCAAAATTTGAATACAGGAATGAAATCACAGGTACTTGGGGGGAAATCATTCTAGAGCACGCCACTGCAAAGAAAACAGAATGTCAGCCATTAGTTTGAATAGCTTTTGAGCTAGGGGGAAAAAAGGCTGTGGTACAGCGATGCCATCTTTATGATTCGGACACTCAAATTGGGAATGTTATCTGCTTGGTTGTTGCTGACTTGGTATGATTCATTAGAAATTTATATCTTTAAGTACTCAAGTACTTCTTTAATCTCTGTATTTTACTATACGATGTATGTAATGATTTGTTTTATGAAATTTAGAACTTGAACATTGCTGAATTGGACCACTTTTTATTTTTAAATATTGAGTTTAAATATTTTATAACTGGTTTTGCACTGAAAAATTTAACATTTCAGATTGACAAGAGAATAATCTTTCTTCACTTGCCTCAATAATACTGTTGAGCAGTGGATTTTTTTATTTCCGCATGGAAAGTTATGGATCTCTATGGCTGTAAAATATTTCTTTATAGCATTATTAAAGTGTGTCTTAATACAATTAAATTTGGGATACAAAGTATTTATTTTACAATGGGAGGGGGGAAACTTTTCCAGAAAGTTTCCAATATGAAGTTTTCATAAGTTAAAAAAAGGTTCCTTAGTGCTTACGTTCTAAGTTAAAAATTCATCTGGAACTTTAAAATAGAGAGGATTCTTTTAATTGCGGATGATAGGCATAATACTGTTTGCATCTGAATGTTCTGTAAGTGAATGAAACTTTTAGTAGAAGGACTCATGATTTCTACTATCGAATGCTTAAACTAAGTATGGAGTGATACCATTCAGCATGGCATCCAGGTCATTCTAGTTTTAGTTCTGTGCAGCTCAAGCGCTCGTTGAAATTCCAGTTTCTAGGATTAGTGTGGGAGCCTAAAGTGCTTCTGCAGTTTTAATGGGTTAATCCTGGATTACTTAACAATTTGTGTCAATTGCACTGGTTTAATTTGTTGCTAAAGGAATAACGCCCTGGCTTTAGTAACAAATACAGCTCAACTATTCTTGAATATATTTTGAGAAAAATGTATGTAACTTAACCTTTTGTAAAAGTTTCTATTTCTTTTTTTTCTTTTTTGACTCTTGAAGGTGCAATTTATTACCGAATTGGCATTTCTGGCAGCATAGAACTGCTTATTTTAAATTTTAGTTTGGGGGCTGTGAGTTTCTTAGGTGTTAGCAGTCTTGCTTATAAAATAAGAACACCTTTTATTAACGAGTGGGTCATTCTTGGCGCAGATATGACTTTCCTTTAATGAATGGCAAACTCTGTTTAGAGCAGAATAAGTATTAGAAAACCCGAGGAACTCTTAATCAACATTTATTAGACTTTCACTGAGGCAAACCGTGTGAAAGCGCCTTGGGGAAATTGACCCCTATCTTACTGAATTGATCAGATTTCTTGGTGGGCTGGAAATTTTCAGCTGTTGTATATTTTAAAGTAAATTGCACCTTTGTAACATAATTGTATTGACGAATGATCACTAAGATTAACTATCTATACAGTCATTAGTTTGACAAGAAATAGAATCCTGTCAGATGCCAAAGAGTTGGGATTTTTACGTTTAATGATTAAACATCGTTATTTATTGATGATTTACCCTGTGGAACTGTATTATTTCTAACTATGAAATAAAAGGGTGATGTAAACACACATCGTTGTGTGGTGCTTTAAACAAGGTCCATCATCTACAGGCTAGTTACTGTTCAGGAATTGCGCCTAAGGACTTATTTTTAGGCCCCATTTTTGTAAAAAAAAAAAAAAAATTATTTTTGGTGCTCATTTGCATTTTAGGGTAAAGGATATATTCATGGCAATGGTATGTATTCAGTCCATGAGAAAACACGGCTGTGTACCTATGAGATCTGTCCCCTGCCCATGCACCTAAGTACTTTGTTGAGCTAAATAAAAATGTGTAGCTCTTTTGTTTTGTTTTGTTTTTACTTAAAGACATGTGAACCTCAGTGGGGAAAATGAAGGGGTTGGAAGTTCAAGATATGTCATGTGAGCAATGATCTGGTTGGTAAAGAGAAATAGTTTTGAGTTTGGTTTCCTAGAAAGTGAGTTCTGAAACTCTGGGTCTGTAGTTTACAAAGTGTGTTTGGAGAGCTCCTTCTTTCAACCTTGCTTTCTCTGCACTCTGTGATCTTGTTGTGCTCCTATAGTGAGTAGTAGCCCATGGAAAAAAAAGGGGGGGCGGGTTGGCTTGGATCTCTTTTCGCTGGAGGAAAAAGAAATCCCCTTCTTCAGACTTTTGACATGGTTTATACTTTTGAACTCTCCCCCCACCGTTTTTTTTTTTTCAATTTAATATTTCCTACTAAACAGGGCACACTTGCCTGGAAGACACTTGATGCTATCTATCCTACAGTGCCTGACTTTCAATAAATGGCAGTACCACCACACTTCATATATATTTTTTTTTCTTTTTTGCAAAAATACCATGTTTTTGAGGCTCTGTTGATGTTTAAGGTGGCAGTAGGATTTCCCTCTTCTGCCAATCTGAGGTGAGCTGTGTTTGCGTCTCCGACTTCCCCTTGGCTGTGTTTGCTCCTCTGGTCACAGGGCTCCTGGAGTCAGCAGTCAGGGAGGAAAAGACAGGGGGGGATAGATCGAAATGTAAACTGGTACAGACCTTCCAGACTCTGGCTCAGCGAGGCTCCTGTTCCAGGCTGTTGCCTTATGTCATGTGATGCCCATGTGTGTGTACCTTTTTCCTTCCCTGAGATAAGTAATTTAAATGATTTCAGTATTTGGGATTTGGGAAGCTTTTATAAGATTGTAAGTTAACTTACAAAGACAAACTGGCCTTTCACTAAAAAAGAATCTTTATTGAATTCTTGAGAAAAGCAACCTATTTTTACTTATTTTCTTACTCTATAACATACTTTTTTTTAAAATATAATTTTGGAAAGACTTTACATTTCATTATAACTGTTGAAAACATTTTCAAGGAACTTTTAAATGACCTTGGCCTAAGTGGTTTGTTCTCAGAGAAAGGGGGAGGAGAGGCTGTCTACCAGTTCATAAGTGGCATAAATGCTTTGGAAGGGTTGGGGCGGAGAGGGCAAGGATGCATGTTGCCGTAATGCAGAGGAAACAGCAAGTATTAAGCAAAATTGCCTTTTTAAGCAATAGAATTTGATTAGGGAAGTGCAAATTGATGGAGATTCCCTTAGAAATATAATAAATTCTATTATAAAGCTAGAAGTAGAGATTGCCTGTGTTCCATGTGCTTTGCTTACTAATAATGCTGCTTTAGATAAGAATTATGAAAAGGATTCTTTGATATTTTATATTACAAAAAAAATTAAGGATTTTTCTCGCTGAGGGGAACACGATCAGGAACAAATCAAAAGAAGAATGGGTTTGATTTGTTATTTTGAGTTTGCTGGGCCCCTAGGACATTTCTGGGCTCCTGTTGGGGGTGATTGTTGAGTTTGTATTCTCACCATTGTGAAGCAACTTTGTGCAAGGTTTCATCAAATGATTTCAGAGGAGAAGTTGGAAACCAAATCTCCTGATGCTGTACCCCTGATCTCAGGGTTGTCTTTGATGTCCAGATTTATGGGAGAGCACCGGATGAGGAAAGAGCTCTTTAAACAGAAGAATGCAGCATCTCCTAGAATGAAAGCGAGTGGCTGCACTGTCCATGGGATCCTTAAGTGATCCCGGCTGGTGTCGCTTCTGGAATGAAGAGCTTTGATGCTTTTGCTTTTGTGGAAAAGCTAGCGGCAGGAGGAGGGAACGCTGGGTCCATCACATTGACCTTTAAGTCTCATTCTTCACCAAAACTTTTTTATATAAAAGGATGCATAGAAATATGTATCTGGAAGACTTTGAATCCTCTCAGTCTGTGGCTTAACACTTCAGTTAGGAAAGGAACTGAGGCAGTAAGAAGTTTCTGAAAGTCCTGAAATTGAGATTTTGGCTCTGTGATTGAAGCTGGGATGGCAAGTACCGAGCCCACACAGTGCATGCTCCTCCCCTGGCACCCGCGGTCTCTGTCCCTAATCCCTCAGAGGTCCAGGCGTGGTCTCCTTATCTTTCTTAACCCAGCGCTATAGGCAGCTGCTACTGAATTGGTCAGAATTCGGTAGGAGGTAAAACCTGTTTACCACATCCCCATACCCACTACAGTAGGTTCTAATGGGAACTGAAAAAACGGTCTGGATTTTTTTAGTAGGAGGCTGTTCTTGGTCCTGTCTCCTAACCAGAGACCACAGGAGAACCGCCCATCCCCATTACCATCACCCATAGGGCTTCTCCTGAGCACATGCTGGCACTCTACTTTCAACAGCAAGGACTTGACTCTTATGGGGAGAGGAGAAGGGGAAGGCAGCCTGAGATGCATGCCAAGGGCAATGTGTTGAATAAATAAATAGCAATTTAAGGAAGAGGAGCTGAAATCCTATGGGACTGAAATCTGGGAATGAACTATCTTGTTCAGTAGCAGGGCCAACTTATTTTGAATACGTTCACTTCGTTGCTGATCTGTTTAGAAGGTTAAAAAAAAAAAGCCTTCATAGGGAACTCTGGGGAAGGCAAAAGCTTAAAATAATTGAGTCTAAGAAGTATCATGGCATGGCAATAATGTTCGCTGGTTATCTGCAGCTTTCTCCTCGGTTACCGACCTGTGTTCTAGAAGAGAAGCATTGAGGTAGATGGTAGTTAACTGAAATATTGGAATTGGGGCTCAGGGCAAGTGAGAGCTATGAGGGAATAAGTAAATGGATGTTTTAGTGATGTCTTTGCCCTTGCCCTGCTCTTCCTGCTGGGGTGGGGTGGGCTAATGATAATAATAATAAATATTATTATTATTAATAATAAATATACTCCTGACCCTAATGATTTAGGGTCAGGAGTATATTTAAAAGTGTGAATTCTTGACATAACTTGCATGAGAAATTGAACTATATGGGAAGTGTTTTGCGCAAGGAGATTCCTCATATGGATTATCTTTTAAAACAGCTAACTAGAATCCTGCATTATGTGGTAGATTTCTGTATTATACTTTCCAATATTTATAAAGTGTGGGTTTTGTTACTCTCAATGTTTCACATACAGTTTTGGTGTCATGCTCCTATAATAAATTACTGAAGTTAAAAGGAAAATTTCTAGGATTGAATATTATTCTGTGTCTGTGGTAGGTCACATAAAGGGACTCAGTGGTAGCCCACAAAGATAGTCTGTAAACATGACAAATGGCCTTTATTTTTTTTTTTTTTTTAGGGGAAAAGGACATACTGTATTACATTTGGCATAACACTGTCTAGCTACACCCCTCCCTGAAATTCATTTTTTAAGTGTTTGCTGGATCAAGCCCTCCAAATGAAATGGATGGGGATTTTTTTTTTCTTCAGAAAAATTTAAAAAATTAAAAAATTAATTAAATTAATTAAAAAATTAAGAAAGATTAAAAAATCTTTCCTTGTTCTTGAGGAACATTTTGGTGCTTGCTTCAGCAGCACATAGGTGAAATTAGAATGATATTGAGGAATGGTTTGACGAGAATAGAGATGCCAGAGAATAAACAGTTGAAAGGCTAACTTTCCCCACTGGGCCAGGCCACTTTGTACAGAAATCACAACAAATGCTGGAAATGACAATCGATCCCAATTTGTGAAGAGAAGAGTTGTAAGAGCCACCTCTGCTGGATTTAGTGTGACCACCAATGAGAGGAGGTTCCTTTGTATGTTGACAACCAGACATAATGGTCTTGGGAGGCTACAGACAAAATGCTAAATCCAAGGTGTATAAAAACAAATCCTGGTTTGAAACAGAACCACCAAGACCTAGCTATTATAATTTATCTCTAGGAGTCAATGCTTCTTCAGGTTCCTGGATTCAACATTTAGTTACTCATCCACAAAATATTACTGTGATATAGTCCATGCTGGGCACAGTGATTCGTCATGAGAATACAAGACGATCAATCCCAGAAAGCCATAGTCAAGAACAAACACTCGCATTTTAAAGTGAGTGCTTCTAATAAAAAAAAATTCAGATCTTTTGAGCATGCAGAGGAGAAAGTTCCTGATTCCACCTTAAGTGTGGGGAAAGCTTCACAGGGAAGCTCTGCTTGGGTGCGGAGGGTTGAAGAGGGTTTTGCCAGTGGGGAGAATTCCTGTGTGGGAATATAAAACTGGAAAAGGCCTTGAGATTCATCTGTTCTACTTCTTCTACTATCTAAACCAACCTGGACAGAAGTATGTCATGTATCTTTCTAAAAATGTCTAGGAACGGAAATCATATTGAGTCACCAGTGTATTTGGGGCAAGTTTTCCATTGAGGAGTTCAGCGGTGAAATTTCAAGTCGTGGTACTTGAACTGCCAAACAGAATTTTAGTCAGCATTTCTCCTAATCCAGCCAATTTTTACCTTAAAGTAACTACCCCAGCCCCACTGACCCTAACTTTTGTGGGTCTCTGGTGGTCCAGAGTTTTCAGATATTCTTTGCATATGTGTCGAGAAGAGGAGTACGTTTTGGGGTACCAAGTAGCCAGTTTCAGACTCTCTTGGAGAACACAGCCAGAAACACGGGGCCCCCGAGAAAAAGTCCAGGATGCTCCTATTAACAGAGTCGATCCAGCGAGATGAGTAGGGAGGGAATCCGGCTTTCCATGTCTCCGCTGCTCTTGATCAGGGCGGAGCAGCACACCCTGCTCTACAGGCTCCAAAACTCACTCTTCACAAGTTCATTGTTAAGGTGAGAGGACCTTGTTTGGGGAAACAGTGCCGGTTAGACTCTGAGGTTTGGGATGACTGTTATTTGAAGCTTACCCTGGGCCTGGGGTGTCTGAGCACTGGAACCATTCCCAGAATTCTGTCCTGCAGCCCTCTTTCTAGGACTGCTTGCTGGAGGAGAAGAGAGGAGCAGGTGGAAATATCTGAGGGCTGTTTTTTTAAATGAAGGTAATGTTT